GCCCGGAATGAGTCTTTTTCCTGAAGAACTCAGAGAAAAAGATATTATAAAAGCCCTGTTGGTAGCAGGCCACATAGGACAAGAAAATTCTGTCTTATTTTTATCCACAATGCCCTTGCAGTGAATTTGTTATAGTCTATGTAACTTCAAATACAAGCATTCTGGGATCTTGAAGCTGGATTGGCAGGTACAAACACACTTGATGAGCGTTGGCCAGTTTTTATTGGATATGGCTATAAGAAGCCAGCTTGTGATGTTTCCGTATTATAAAAAAAGAGAAGCCACAAGATTGTGCCACCATCAGGGCTATTCAGAAAGCCATTCTACTTCTTCTCCTCTTTGAGTATATGCCATAAGACACTTCTTTATTACCTAAAATTGTGTGAGCATGTAAAGCTAGTTTTGGCTATTGGGTTGTAAGTAGAGATGGTGTGTGTCACTGCTGGGTAGAAGCCTCTCAGCAGAAGCATGATTTATCATGTCTTCTTCCCTTTGCCACATTGATTTTGAAGCTTTTATCAAGGTGATGCCTCTATTAGCTTGGGTTCCCTAAGACTGGAAGAATCCCCTTGCCATGCTAATCTGGTATCAATATACACCATAATGAGAAAGAAAACGTCATTATTTTAAGACATCATGCTGTTGAGATTCTTTGTTATCACAGCATAACTTTGCCTATCCTGACCAATTACAAGTAGTTTCCAGGAAAGATTAATTCTCGAAGACAGTAAAGGCTGGAATTAGGCCAATGACTTCCACTTGAGTGAATTCAGAAAACAATCTGGGCCAGATAAGATATCAGAAGATTGGGCCATTCAGGAAGAAAGAGGCAACAGGCAGAAATTAGGTGAGGGCCTTCGGGTTCACATCAATGAAGTTGAGAATTTGAAACCACATTCTAATTCCAGCAAGAAATGCAAATGGCTCAGTGGACAGGTCATGGTAAGACTGGGACACACGTGGTGGGTGTTAAGAGCAGGGGATGATCTCTCAATGGTCATGTAAAGATTTAGATTTTCTGTAGTAGACTTCAAATATCACAGAAACAACCCAATATTCCTCAGATATCATTCTCATTGACTAGGGCCCTGTCTTGCTTACACTTGGAATCTGTAGGTCATTACTGTGACCAGCCAGTTATGGCTAGAACAGATGGGGCCAGAATGCAAGAGACAGAAAATAGTAATAGAATTTATCTGAGTTGTGATAATGTCTTTTTCTAATAGGGTCTTTATATTAAGCCAATTCTAGCTTTCTACTTCCCAGGTCAAATGATAGCAGTTTAAGGAATGTCATAGGTTATGAAATTTGAAGTTATTAGCCATTTTCCTTATCTTTTTATATGAAGAGTAGAGGGGACTTATTCCCATTTTTGCAACTATGAAACCTGACAACATATTTTTTCATGATTATACCAGTGTTGATTAAATCTAAAATTGGTCCTTTGAATTAAATTGCCTAAATTTTCTAGTTCACTATGATTCCCTGTATCCTGCCATGTGACAAACTGTGATGCAATTTTGCAGATGTTTTTATTCTAAACATATTGAACTCAATGTATTCCAATTAAAAGAAATATATAAGAATTATCCTTATGAAGCAGTATTTGTACTTTTCTAGCATTTGTCTGATTGTTTTGGTTCTCTTCCTTCTTCTGCATGTACATTCCAATTGGATAATCTGATTAAGGCATCTGATTATTACAAAATTATGAAATATCTATACATGTTTTAAATAGAAATGTTTTAAAATGGCTATGGTTTTTATTTCCTTAATTCACTTAGTGATAATGTAACACAGAAGGAAAATGAAATACAAAATGAGATTTGGGTCATATGTTTTGCTCTGAACAATTGATTTTCCTTTGGGACTTGGAATTCGACACAATGAAAGACAGTGGGACATGGCAAAGGAGCATGTGGTGTGTAAGAGACACACTTTTCTCTTCTTGTAATTTCTTTGTTTTGAAAATTCAACATTGGGTAGGAATTTTAGGTGGATTCTGGCTACTTACATATAAACTGTAGCCCCAACTGCCATCCAGACAGGCATGGAAATAGAAAGAGGATAAAATTCTCTGGTGACTACAGTTGTGGCAGTTTGGCCACTCACACCCTCTTTGTGGTAAGCATGTAAGTGTTGGCTTTTCATTGTCCCTGATTAAGGTTTCCTGGAATATCAGTGGCTCCTTCACCCTGGACAGTTCCATGATACGGATGAGGAATTGGGTTTAAACTCAGGCACCTCTCTCATCTTCCAGTCTTCTTCCTAGATTATCCAGATAATTTGGTTCAGAGGTTCCTCAGATACTGATTACCACACGCTGTCTAAGAAAGAGAATCTAAACCAACCTACTGGTATAGGGTATTCATTTCTGCAGAGATTATCAAACTGCTAACCACATGTTAAAATATTCATGAATTGGTTCGCTGTCATATATTTATTTATTTACTTTTTACTAATTTTTCCCTACTCTTTTATTATTTCCTCCCATATACTTTATTTAGGTGTATATTATTGTTTTTTTTCTGAATCCTTGAGATGACTATGTAGCTTATTAATTATTAATTTGAAGGCTTTATGCATTTCTAAAATAGGCACTTAAATATACACATTCTCTCTAAATATCGATTAAGCTGCATCCTACAAATTTGAAATGTTTTTTCATTATCTTTGAATAGGAAAGATTTAAAACTTTCTAACATAAATTCTTTCGTGATTTATGGATTATTTAAAGCATGACTGTCCGATCGAAGTACAAGTTAAGCCACAAATCTTGGCCACGTTTTTGATTTAGAACGTTAAACTTTGCAGCATAAGTTTTGTTAGTCCTAAGGCTGCTTCTGGTTGTGCTCAATGTGAAGCTCTGTACAGGTACCCAAGATTCTTGGAAATTCTTAGCGTTTTCTTGGTTCTCCTTGGCTCTATCTCCTTACCCACAAATCTCTTGATTTCTCCAATACTCTTGACATTAATCTTTGTAGCTTCAGGGAGTCTAATCTTGCCACTGTCAAGTCTTTATCTCTGCTGTCCTGTTAGCATTATAACTCTCTGAAACTCAGTCTTTTTCAAACATTTAGAGACTACTTTGCCAGAATGCTTAGATCCCCTTCCTGTTTCAGAGGAGAAAATATATTAAAAAGATCATGCACAGTTGAATTATTTCACCAGGTTCATTAATTTATTTCTGCTCACATTGAAGTTTATCTGAAGTAATATTCTTAGACTATTCATAAGCTTTCTGAACACTTCATCCAATTCAATCTTATGAGCTTGAATTTCAATAGCAAGATATATTTCTGATGAGTAAAGAGCTGTTGGTCTTCAAAAATGTATGAGACATACACATTCAGCCTAAGCCACATCAAATACTTGATCATAGAGATAAGAAAATAATGTTCTTCATTTACTCAAGACTATTGTTATCTTGAACTAGGATGTATTCACCCTCCTCAGTGTTGATGGGACAACTGGAATATATTTACTTTAGTAGGTGATAATAGGGACTGGTAACTCTGAGAAAACTTTGTTCTTAAGTGTTTATGACTTATTTTGCCTGCAGTGATATTTGGGGCAGAGAGATGATTATCTGAAAAGTTGAAGTGAAATGAGCTAACTACTAGTTTGTCCCAGGCAGTCAAAAAAATGTGCCCTCAAGGAAATCAATAATTAAAAATAAAGGGAAAAAAATAATTTTCTTGCTTTGGTGCAACATGCAACAACTATAATAACCATTATGCTTGAAAATTCATTATGTACCTCAAGCTTTCTCCTCTTCTCCTAGTTTACAGGAGGAATCAGTCTCTTAGCTGGATGCTGTTACAAAATTTATTAAATAACCATAGGGACTGTCAGTCCTTCAAATTACAAATGTAAAACCCTGAAAACGTAAAACTGCCATCAGGATTTTTTTCCCCAGCATTTACTTGTGTTTTGATTACAACATTACCGAGGAAGGAATACAATTTATTAACAGAATGAGAATGAGTTATAGTAAAAAAAAAAATCCGGAAGAGAGAGAAAGATTAATTTGCACTAACCCCCACCCCGCCCCCCGTCTGAAGAAACAGGAGTTGAGGGTGCCCCTTTAAACCACAGGACTGCAATTGATCTCTGCATGTTTTCTGGTTTTCCTCCCTTTGAAAGGAGAGTGAGAGCCAAAATCACTGGCTGTGCCGTGGAGCTGCCACATCTCAGCACTGAAAAGGTACAGTGCAAGTGAATTTAAACAGTTTTTGGCTTTCTATTCCATATTGCCATGAGCTTTGAGAATGATGAACCAAGTACATGCTTTATTTAGGGGCTAAGTGAGACACTGATTCCTCCAATCTGACAGTGTTTCAGCCTCCGGAGGGAGAAGGCAGCAAAACAGAAGCAGCAGAAGCAACAGCAGTAGCAGCAGCAGCAGCAGCAGCCCGCGCTGAGTCCAGGGGAGACTTGATCTCCTGTTCATCCTAGAACACTACGCTTGGCTTGTGCGCTGTCCAGGGTCCTGAAACATGAACCAAACAGCCAGCGTGTCCCATCACATCAAGTGTCAGCCTTCAAAAACAATCAAGGTAGGACCCGGTTTTGTCTCTTCCCTCGCTTGCGCTCCTGTGTCTTCACTCATCTACCCGAAACGTGGGCATCGGTATGGCAGGGCACTGGCAGTGGCGGTACCTGTTGGGTTTGAGTTTGAATCGAAGGTCGGATCTGATGAAGTGTTTGGCTCCTTTCTGTGCCTGTGTGTAGAATGCAGAGAGTAGTTTCCGCTGAACACTTCTTTTCTCCTGATGACTTTGGTTTTTCTTTTTTGACTGAGAATCTGTCAATGGCATATTTCAGGAAGAAAGTTTAGTGAGTGTTTAGAAGAGTTGCTAGTTAGTGTCAGTTTTCTTGATCCAACTGGTAAGGAATTTGCAAACTGCTGGAATCAGACAATATTAAGTTGAGTCTAAATCTGATAGTGCTATTCCATTGTCATATGGATTTTGGATCTCTTAACCTTTTCAAAGAAAAACTTATCTTTCACTGTGAGTATAGCACTGGTGGTTATGCTAAAGTGATTATGGCAGGGACTGTCTAAAGTTGCAGGTTCTCACGTATACCACTGTATAACTAAATCTCTGTGAGATAATTGCTGACAATTTTTAATTCAGGTGTTTGCTCTAAACTTGAGGCTTTCTGACAACACACAGTTTAAAATGAAGAGCAAGCTCAGAATTTCACTATTCTGCTTTAGTTTTAAGTAACGTTTATGTTATTCTCTTTGTTTTTAGTTGGCATACTCTTACTTTTAAGAAAACTTATAAACAACTAGACTTCCAATCAAGGATTTAATCTATTTTCCGATTTACTTATATTGGATTATTATCTGTGTGGTTAGATTGTATCTTGAGGGAAAATGATCGGCTACCTTGAAACTTTTTTTGTAAAAAAAAAAAAAAACAAAAACTAATAACCTGATGAGTCATCTTAAGTTACTGCAATCTTTCATTCACATACAAGTGCATACCTTTTACTAAGATTCCAGAACTTGAGAAGACTGTTTTTTTATGATTTATACTATTTTGTGGGGGTTATATCTCAGGCCTTTGACAATATTGCATAGACTATAATTACAAAGAGAATATAATTTTCAGCAATGTCTCTTTCTTGTGAACTTAACTACCCTATACCAGGGTCTTGCATTGATAAATAGAGCGTGAACTGAACATTTTCCTCTCCATTTATCAGCAGTTATTTCTGAAAGCAAAGCAGCCTGCAGGATATATCAAATGATGCATAGTTAGATTTTTATCGTATAGAAACATAGGGAGTTAACTGACATCATGCAGCACTCAAATTCAGATAATTTATACCATCTCTAATGACAAAGATTTGAGAATTATTTTCAGCACTGGATTTTCTGTACTGTTCCAAGTTTAGAAATAAAATTTTGAGCTTTAGGATTTAAGTTTTCCTTTGCATGTCAAATTCCCACATTAAGTCAATTATATAAGCAAGCATACCACCACTGAACAAAGCCAGAAAAGTAAATGTGTGGTACTCCCAAGTTGTGATATATAAACTCTGGTGAGAAATGTGTGTTGTAGCCTAAAGTGGGATCGCGTTACAGCTGAGTTGTCTCCTGCTGAGTATGTCTAGAGTGCCATGAAATGACCAGTGGCTTTCTGTTTAAGTTTGAGGTCACAGAAATCAAGCATCTATTCATTCTTCTCTTTATTGAGTAAGCACAAATGAGTGCTACTTTCTGAGACTTAAAATCACTTCCCTTATTAATTCTCTGGCATCGACTCCTCTCAGAGAAACTGTGGAGCAGAAAAAAAAAATGCTTCTAGTGTGGGGCTCTGCATCATCTTGCTGATCTTGCAGATGCTGGTTTTTCATTCTAACTGCAGCCATTGAATTGAAATGAAAGGCATCATAAAAATTGGACAATTCACCATTTAGTAATGTATTATATTAATGACTTAATGAAGGAATCTTGAATCAAAGCTCTGGGTGATTTGGTTAATTGTACAAGTTAAATTCTTTTGTGCACCCAACCCCTGATATGGCTCTGGGGAGCAAAAGATGCTTGTGATGTTCATAAAGTATATATAGTTGCAAGCATTGAACTATTAAGGGAGTAATTACTTGAGTATTTTCCAATTTGCAACCGTAAAAAGAGATGAGTGGAAAAGCTCTCTTACTTCAAATTATGTGCTCAATTATGAAGCATTTATGACTTTGGAATTTATACTAAAAATGGCCATCTATATTTAGGTAATGCATTACCCTGTGAACAAAATGCAATAACAATCTAAAGAAAAACCCGAAAATAAAAGATTTGTGGAAAGTTCTGGGATATTAGAGCTGAAAACATTCTTGGAACTTTTAGAATTTTAGTTCCAAGCATGGGCATTTAGAATAATTTTTTTCCTCAGTCTAAAGTTACTATTTGACAATTTTAAGTAATCCCCCCTCATGGAATTTAGTTGGCCTGTGGATAATAATAACCCATTTAGGGGGCTCTGAAAATACCCCAATACTTAATAACTTGCATATTGTGCATATTGCTCCATTTTAGAAATTCCAAAACTTCTAGGGACCCCCCCGCCAGCGCACTGTAATAAACCTCTAGAGAATTTCCTTCCCCTCTTGTGAATGTAGTAAATGCTGGATATTTCTTCTTAAACAACCACTAAGAGTGCAATGAAAATGTACCAAAATGAATTGCCTTGCTAAACATAGCCGTAAAGTACAAAGGACTAAAAGTATAGGAGAAAGAACAAGTGTGTGTGTGTTCTCCCCCACTAGGAGTGTGTGTGTGGTGTGTGTGTCTCTGTGTGTGCACACATGTGTGTATTCCTCCCCACCGTAAGTTTGTGTGTATGTGGCGTGTATGTCTCTGTGTGTGCACACATGTGTGTGTTCCTCCCCACTATAAGTTTTTTTTTTTGTGTGTGTGTGGTGTGTGTGTGTGTCTGTGTGTGTGTTCTCCCCCACTAGAAGTTTAAAAGGCAATGAAATCCGCAGTGGCTCAAATCTGGCCATTGTTGACAATGAAGGTTGTTTGTGGTCATGATGGTGGCAGAGTCAGACGAATAGAGAGAAGTCACAAGGGAAAGAGATGGTCAACGTTTTTTGGGTTGCTTGACGCTTGTTTTTGTCATTCTGGCTACTCTCAAGTTCAGTCAGTCTGGGACGCCTTCCTGATATACTTGAGCAAGTATGTATGTTACTCCAGGGCAAAGCTGATAAGAGAGAGCAGAGCAGAGCAGAAGAGGTCAAGTAAAGGTGCCAAGCATGTTCTCAGATCACTCTGGATAGAACCCAAAAAGAGGCACGCTCTTAAAATCCTCCTGTGTTTCAGAGCTAGCACTGAAGTATAGCTTTTCCTGAAATGATTACAAATCTTGCTGTCAAGGTTAGCAGCACTCTTAAAAAAATAAAACAAAACAAGAAGGTCTTTCACTCTGAGATCTGTAATGGAAAATTTTAGGAACTCTATGGGAATGCTAAATGCAGATCTAATCTCTGTGTTTTTATAAACTTGATTTTTGAAGAATTGCCCCAACCATGGGCAGTAAACTTTTTTTTCCTTCTTCAGTGTTTTGGATTCTCTTGGCTGAACTAAAAGTAAATTAAAGATTCAAGCCAAATCTCTGGTCTTGGTTTACTTCCTTTACTAGTAGAATTGCAAATTTAGAATTTTGCCTCCAAAATGAGCAGAGACTTTTCTTATTTCTTTCACGTTTTAATGTCAGCGTAGCATCTATGTGTATCTAGACGAGTAGAGAAAATTCTCCACCTTTTTTAAAGCTAGAAGTTGTAAGTGAATTATTTGGGGTTGGTGATTCCTGGATCAGAAATGATATCCTTTTTGTTACGGAAGCTCCAAAATAAATTATACAACTTTCATTTACTTTTCCCATCTCATGACCCTGTCAAACCAGTCAAGACCTGCCTGGTTTATTCCCATACCATCTTCACACACAAGTTCCCAGTTTCATGAAGAAAGTGTCCCAGAATCTGAAAAGTTCTAGTCGTTTTTTACATGGTCGTGTTGCAAATTTTTTTTAATAAAGCATACTTGAAAAATCATCTTTAGAATTTTCAAGCTTCAGAGTATAACATCCTGAACTGAAGTTTTTCATGGTAATTTTGACAGCCTCTTACACTGTAATATTGATAAGTCGGTATGCAAACAAAGACTTTCTTTCCCCTTGCTGCTTCTAATCCACAGCTCCATCTGAACTTGTGGTATAGGGAATGGGAGGCAAAATTAGGTTGTAAAAGAAATTTAAAAAATCTCATTATAAGTATTTTTTATTAAATCTGTAGGCTTGAGGCATGGGGATTAGGAAATCATTTCTTTGTTTTGCAAATAGGTATTTTGGCATATGACATTGGGATGAATTGGATGGTGAGACTGGCTTGAAATAGTGTCATTGGCATCACACTGCTTATTAATTCCACATCTTTTTACCCAAAGGATGGCCAACACGTCTGTATGTCACTGGTACTTAAACTAGTATTGCAAGTTAGTCTCAAAGAGTACCTCAGAATTAAATATGCAAACTAAATCCACAAACATTTAGAAAGGTAAGGATTGTGTAAGAAAAACAGTTCTACCTCTTTATGTCATCACAATATACAAAATGTAAGATTTTCCAATTTCACTGTTATAGTATATGAAATTCTAAGTGCAAAGATGATAGTAAACTTCTATATTGTACTTCATCTTACATGTGCTTCCCGGTCCTAGTCCTAAGAACTTTAGTCATTATAAAAAAGAGAAAGAAACTTGATAAAATTACGGTCTCCACACCGACTCAGACACACTGTAAGAAACAGTATCAGTAGTAACTGTAC